AACGAAAGGGCTGGGCCTCCAGATACGCAATTGTATATTATTTTTTAGTAGGATTGCAACCTGTTTAGTTGTCAATCGTATCTTATTCAATATCTACACATTCAGCGCGTTGCGAAGCGTCGCCCATACGAGGTCCGCTAGTATTTATTAAAGAAAACTTGCATAACATAAACATACGTACAGAATTCTTTTGCATTTCTACATACGTATGTACATACATATATATTATATTCTTGTATAACGAGTACTTGATGACAATGCAACAGCCATCACGAGTTATACAAATTACCATAGTTCCTGCTGTGGTCACCGCTGGCGCAATGCAGTCTTGCGGTCGAGTGGATGCCACACTGCAGCAGCAGCAGCAGCAGCAGCATCACAACGTGGCATAGAAATGTCACAATAACAACCAAGCGAGAAAAAAATAAAATAAAATAAAAGGCAAAAGTAAAAGCAAATATAGTAGACACAAACAATGACAAACAAGCTGGCGAGAAAAGTGAAGGATATAAAAAAAGCAGATAATGAAAAGGACAATGTGATAAATCAAAGACACATTGAGGTGACACATTGAAGAGGTGTCGCACTTCTCACTTGCTTGAGTCGATGTCCAAAACAGATGTTGATTAAATATTTAAGTCCGCATGTAGTTTGTTCACACAGCCGACAGCTACATACATAGATACATGACTACTTACCTACCTCAACAACTTCTGAAGTAGAAATTTGGTCGATACACTTATATATGTACATACGTACAAACCTCAGACTACTTAACTCGAAGATGATGAATTTACTTGGTATACAAAACCTTCAGCATACTCTCGTACCTTTGTATGTATGTATGTATTTACATGAACTACATTTCTAATGAATCCTTATAAATATATATATATATCACCATTAACAGTTTATGACACGCTTTTACGAATTTAGCATTTACTTCTCAAGTTTTCATTTCACTCACTCCCGTCACCGGTCGCTAGGTGCGCGCAAGCGACTGTTCCACTTCCGTTCGCTGAGAATACCGCAAATGGACTGATTTCATTTGACGAAATTGGGTGTTGCTTTTGATATTTACTTTTCGTTTTGTTCTTTTTTTTTTGCATATTCAAATAAGTAAATTTTAATGTTTATACAATTGTAGGTGTGTTTCATTGTTGTAAACAATACATGCGCACTAGCAGAATGTTTGCAATTTCCGGTTTTGCTTACTCGCTACTTTGACAGTGGTTAGCGGTTAGTGGAGAGCTTTTCGAAAAGCTTTAGTCGAGACATATGCCATCAAAACACAGGGCGGCATTAAGGCTTTACAAAGAGAGATATGAAATTGAAGAAAAAAATACAGTTGCAAAAACCAGGTGCCAAAAATAACCGTTATCTTGAATTTACAAATTTAGTTATTCCCTCAATTCAATTGCCGCTTCTTTAGCGTAATTTGGCGAAAAGCAGGACCTAACTGTAGTCCTGCGAAAGTATTTTGACTGTTCCGAAAGCAGCGGAGTACGTGACAGTTGGCTATAAAGTTACCAACATTTTCGGATTGAACTCCCGATGGATATGGATATGAATAAGAATATGGATATGGATGTGGATCTAAAAATGGAAATAGAAATGGAAATGGATATGGGTATTGATGTGGATAAAGATATGAATATACATATGAATAAGGATATGAATATGGATATGGATTACGATATAGATGTGGATATGAATAAGGATATAGACATGGATAATGATATGGCAGCGGCATCTATGATAGTTGGCTCATCAACCTGCCTATAAAGTATGGAAACATTTTCAGAATGGATATGCATAAGGATATGGATATGGCTAAGGATATGGATTGGGATATGAAAATTAAAATGGATATGGATAAGGATATGAATATAGAGATGAATGTTAATATTAATATATGTAAATATGAATACGAATATAGATATGGATATGAATATGGATTTGGATATATCTAAATATGGATATGGAAATGGAAATTGTTATTGATATGGATCAAAAATGGGAAATATCATTTTACACAAAAAATTCGAATAAGTGGAATTTGCTAGGTACACACATACACGGTTTTTATAGGCCTTAATCTTTAGTCACCCTTGACAACAATCGAATTGTTAATCTAGACATATATGTATATGTATTTATATATAAACAAATTGCAGCTGTTTTATTTATTCGCACCCAGGACAAGGTCAGTTCTAAAAAAATTTTATTCGGAAAAATAAATGTAAAATTGAAACTTTTTCTTTTTTTATCGAAAATGTCAGAGCCAAATTTTAATCGAAAAAAGTGAAATTTTAATTATTATTTTTGACGGAAAAAAGTAACGCTTAAGGCGCTGGCCCAATGCAGGCTTGCTTTGCACGCCTTACTTACTTTAATTTGCTTTGATTTACTTCAAAAACTCGTTTGGTCAAATGACAGCTTGGAACGCTGTCAAAGCTACCAGCTGTGTAGTTACAAAATTAAGGTCTGTTCCCTTACACTAAGAATAATTCTCCCACAAAATTCCAGAAAACTAAAAAAAAAATACAAACAATCTTTTCAGATTTATTTTTAAATTGATGCGAATTTGAATGCATTTCAAAGGAATGATAATTATACATATATAACTATAGGTACATTTATTAAAAACAAAAAAAAATATCCAATTCTTCAAGAGACGACTGACCAGTAGTTTGACATCATAAATATCGCTAGCTAGCAAGAGAAATTAAGGATTAATGTACTTGTTTTATTTTTTCTTATTTATATTCAATGAAAGGCAAATTTTCTAAGTCCAGAAGAGGCCCCGAAAATCTGATAAGGCCAAAATAATACGAAATCTTTTAATAAAGATCGAATCCTTTTGATTCGTATGGAGTTTTGCTTTGCTTTAAACACGCAAAATGTTGTATTCAAAGTTCCTGTAAAATTTGTAAAAATGGACTCAGCAACTTTTCAGCCAGCGATATGTTAAATATAAATATGGAAACATATAATCATTTTTATTAAACTTTGAATAACTTATATTATATATATTTTTTTTAATTACGTAAAAAAATTTTTGTACATAAAAGTATGCAGCAGTTTGTTTGAAATGATTTAGAACGGGAACATACCTTTTTGTCAAAAGCCTACGAAACGCTTTCAAATAAAACATTTGCCTATTTGAAACTTTGAGGCGCTTAAAGCAAGTAAAGCAAAGCTGCCATTTGGCCAGCCTTCATACATTTTAGTATATTCCAAATAACTTTTGACAGTTCTCAAAGCGAGGCAAGCAAAGCAAGCCTGCATTGGGCCAATACCTTTAATTGTTGAATTTTCTGAAAAAAAATCAAAAAAAAATCTATCATTTAATATTAATATTCCCCAAGCTCACAAACACCAAAATGCTATATTCAAATATCTCTCCGAATTCTTGAATCGAAATTTCATAAATAAATGGTGTTATTAAACGATTTGGTCGAAATTCATATCCAATGGATTTTAATGTTTCGATGGGCAATGCTTCTGCAAAAAATGTACTCAGTAGATAGTGCTATGGTCGAAATATTTAGAAACCCGGTATTTCCGATAGGCTTTGGGCCTTTATTTATAGTATACTTATTTGCTTTTTAGATAGCTAAATACATAAATTATGAGGTTAAGTATGCATACAAAGAAGCGCAAATTTTACTCACCCCCGCATTCACCATAAATACGATCATGAATCTATATCCGATTAAATTAATTGCTCGAGGCGGCCATTATTGTAGACCATTTCTTGAATCAAAGGAATCTGTGGCCATTTATATATATACCAGGCACATCAACAAGTCGTGGGTATATCAAGAAGGAAGGTTTGACATATATGTGGCAGCACGGAATGAGTCATTTTTAATTCTGTGGCCGTTTATCTCTGATCGAGATAGCCTAGGTTTATAGACTCTAATAAATATAGGTGCCTGAACTTCTGGATATAAAGAGGTAATGGCTAAAGTGACGAATTATCAATGGGCCTATTTGAACGATATTTCAAAGATCACACGGCTCATGTTGCCAATGAAAGGGAAAACTCTGTCGTGCTGTGAAACAGCGACCCTCCAATAATAAAAAACTATCATGTGAGCTCTTTACGATTTGATTGGCTTAAGAGAACGATATTAAAGTATAGACTGGCGGCATCTTTGATCCGGATTAACGCCACAATTGATCTGATCAAAATTGTGCCTAGACAGACGGCAGAAATGCGGATTTACGAGCCACGAGCTCTTAGGTTCGAATCCCACGGCCAGTAGAATATTCATTAGATTTCTTTTATTTATTCAATTATAACTTCTATATTTTTTTAAGTTGTTTTAGTTGTTTTATAGTCGCTCCAACTGAGGATTGAACCTGAGACCTGCAGGCTTGTAGTACGGAGCCCTCACCACTCGGCTACCGCTAGTTTTGCACTTTCTCTCTATTCTACGATCTCTAAGTTTTAGTCAGTGTCGTCAGCGAATATTCCCTTGATCCGAGTTAAGTTTGGGAATTAACTCTAGGACTTAATCCGGATTAAGCTTGAAAAACCATTTAAGAAATCCTTGCGGAGCTCCACACATTTAAATAAGACCATCGGCAAAGCTGATAGCATCGAAAGGGATGAGAATTCCATATTGCATCACCATTCCTGGTCTATGTGTGAAGGCTCCTCAGTAGTTTCAACTTAAACTAAGAGTTTTTATTTAACAAACCATTTTTGCTCTTCGGTGCTATTTTTGCATAAGACAAACCAAAAGTTCTTATCAGGCATCGCCTCAAAGCATGCGGGCATTCTGCTTGTATTGTGTGAAAATTTCCACATTTATTTACAAATTTATTAAAATATTTGGCTAATGGCAGGGTTAGTGCTTTCGTTGATCACAATCATGGCGAGAATTTACTTAAGTACTCAAAGTACATAACTTATAATCTAATTACTCAAAATTTTCACAAAATAAATAAAAACTTAAAGCTATTCAACACGCGCGTACACGCTTGCTCTAACTTCTCATACGCCACGAATTCTTTATCAGATCGGCCGCCTTTTCGGCAATCATTATTACAATGGCGTTAGTGTGACCAGCGGGTATAGTTGGCATAATCGAAGCATCCACCACACGCAGATGCTTAATGCCATGAACACGTAATTGTGGATCCACCACAGCCGCCGAGTCCGTGGCCGGGCCCATCTTACAAGTGCCCACTTGATGTTGCAAACTGGAGCCATAACGACGCAGACAACACTGCCAATACGCTTTGCTGTGAAAAGTCAAATGTTCGCAACCCAAGAAGGGTTTCGCATTGAATTCGGTGCCTATGCGACGCATAGACTTCGTTTGTGTTATTTGAAAGATCTGAAAATAAACAAACTTATAAAATTGCTAGCTTGATATGAGAACGCCAGCAAACTTGCCAACTGCACACCCTCTAACATGGCGCGTACATCATCTGGATCTTGCATGTAGTTGGGCTCCATACGTGGCCAATGGAAAGGGTTTGTGCTACGCAGTGAGATGCGACCGCGACTTTTAGGACGCAAGAGTACTGGCACGAGTCCAAAAGTTTCCTAAGCGAAATAGGTTATAATGCTTTTCCAAAACTAAGTAATTAGCTTGTAGGTTGTTCACCTTTTCGTGTAGACCTTCGTAGACTTTGTAATAGAAATCATCTGGCATGCCGAGCAGATCACGCAGAGAGCCCATGTGATCGCCGCTTAAGGAACCCGCGCCCAGCACGATCTCCATATCAGCATAGTCCTTATCTGCATTTGAATAGGAAAGAGAAATTTTTTTAGTTTGCAGCCTTGCATCTAAAGGAAAAGGCCCTTACCAACTGTCGCATTTGGCGTGCGCACAAAAGCAAATCCCTCAGCGCCACCAGGTATCGTATAAGGTCCTCTCCCTTGCAGTATATAATGCAGAATATCTGCTGGATTTATTAGGCGTCGATCATTTAAAGTCATCGTATCATTCACTAAAAATACCAGTCCATTCAGCGTCACATGATCTTGCATATTGTAGCCCACCTGCAGATCACGCATCACCGGTATACCCAGCTCTGCCAAGTGCTTTCGCGGTCCTATGCCCGACAACATTAACAACTGCGGCGATGCAATCGCTCCCGCCGAGAGTATAATTTCCCTCTTCGCTCTCACCACATACCGTTGATGGTGCTTCATAAACTCAACGCCATTTGCCACTCTAGTCACTGGATCCACCAAAATACGCGTCACCCAAGATTTCATTGAGATTTGTAAATTTGGTCTTCCCGCTATTGGTCTTATGAAAGCCTTGCTCGTACTACAACGTCGACCGTTACGTAGATTTGCTTGCGCACGCGCGAAACCCATTAAATGCTCGCCATTCGTGTCGGTTATTTCGTAGCCCATTTCGTGGCTTGATTTTAGAAAAGCTTGTAAGACTTTCGACTTAAAGTCTGTATAGCTGACATCAAGTGGCCCATCACGTCCATGGTAGGGTGACTTGCGCAATTCTTTGATATGTATGTTTTCGGATTTTTTGAAATACGGCAACACTTCGTCATAACTCCAACCCTTATTGCCGAGTGCCGCCCAATGATCGTAATCTTTGCGGTGTCCACGCGTGTACAGCATGAAATTAATGAGACTCGTACCACCGACGCCGCGGCCTTTAGGCCAATTACAAACGCCGCCTTTAAGGCCCTGGCAGGCATTGGGGGTCGGTTCGGATTTATAACCCCAGTTGTAGCGTGTCATCTGCGTGAGTGCAGCTGTGAGGGGAACGTCACTGAAAAGGGTGCAAAAGCATGTAATGAGTAAACATTCTTGATTTTAAATTTAAATTTTGGTAATTTTTCAGAAAACGGTAAGGAATGTTATTATCAGCCTGTAAAGAGTTATTCCGGAGTCACATAGGGCGTCACTCTTAAAGTGGCTTACTGAAGGCTGACTTGCTGTGGTCTCCGGTATAAATTGGGACAAACTGAAATTTTACTATTTACAAGAAAGTATAAAACACCTCCACCGGAGCTAAGTGAACTTCGCCCATGTGTGTGAGCTGGAAGGAGAACTTAAGTCAGCATTATGAGCAGACTTCTATGGCTCAGTAGTCGGTGCAAGAAATGGAGTTTCAGTTCTGAATCTACCGCCGCTAGATTTAATGGGCAACAGGTGGCAGCATTTGCTGTTCTTCATTTAAAGCAGACATCTCATTTAGAGCAGCTACTCGTAGAACGCTCTGCAAACAAATTCTTTTGTGACTTAAGTTTGCGGACTCTAATTTCTTATATTTTTGCCTAAAGGTGGGAATTTTAGCTTTCTTTAAATGATATTCCAAAGATTTTCGTTGCATTGTTTCTTTTACTAGAAAATTTCAATAATTAAAGAAATGCCATTTTAGACAGTCCCAAATATCTAGAAAACTAGAACCAATTGAATAATTTTAAAGCCAGATTATTACTCTTCGAAAAAACCCTTTGGAAATCAGCTTTCGAAAGCTCTGTTGCATAATTTTGTTGACCAGTGTTATAGAAAATATCTCGTATGCCCTATTTCCATTCAGGATTCAAATAATAAAAATCCAAAAAAGGCGTGAGTACCAGGAACCAGCTCCGAAATGCTCCTGAAATAGTTCTGAATAGGCTCCAAAACGGTCGAAAAAGTCTTGAACTTCTTCCAAAATTATCTATTTAGAACCACTTTTGAAACGGCCCTAAAATGATGCCGACTAGGCCTAAGATGATACTCAAATATTCGTGAACTAGTGCCGCAATGGTTCCGAACTACTTCGTGTACTAGTCCCGATATGGTCCGGAAATAGTCCAAATGTGTTCATTTGTACACACAAGAAGCAATTATGGATTTTCTGCTCGGTTAACACAAATTTTACCCATGCTGAGAGCCTTAAAGGTTTACTCATCAAAAAGACATCAGGCGTCATTCTATTCGTGATATCATACTTGATATTTCTAAAAATATAAGTTTTCCAGTAAATTCCAATACAAACACACTTTCCCTCTTTTTCCTGCAAAACGTTAACTTTTTTAATTTTATTTATTTACTTACCTCAAGAACGTCTCTTGATCGCCCGCTTCCAAGAGCAGCACCGTCGCATTGCTAATCTCACTGAGCCGATTCGCCACAACACAGCCACCTGAACCGGCACCGATAATTATGAAATCATATGCCTCCGCGAATGTTTGCGTATCTGGCAGGCGCGTATTAAGCAATGAGGTTTCCAAATTGCGTGCCAAATCGACAAGAGGCTGAGCATTGATCAGCAGAGGTATGGCAAGAAGCCAAAGGTTGGCCGGGCACCAACAAATAGATGGCATACTAAGAGATGCGTACATGTGGGGAGCAAGGAGTTGTTATGGTGGCAGTAGCAACTGTAGAGGTGACATGGAAAATAGAGATTTGCAAAATTACTTATATATTTAAATATTTGCGTAATAAATAGATAATATATTAGTTGGCACTGCGAAAAGTATAAAAATATTTTCAGCTATTTCTCATATTGTCCCAACAAATGTAAGTAATACATTGCTATGTGTGTACATATATATATATATATAAGTACGTATATGCATTAAACCTAGACGTATCTAACACTTAGCAGTGAGGCACTAATTATGCGTGCTGCCTTTATTGCGAAATTGAGTTCTAATTTGTACTCTAAATAGCTTTTTTGTAGGCAAACAGCTCACAGGGACCTTGAGCACCATGTATTGCAATTTTTTTACAAATCCTAAAAACTAAAAATCAACACAACTGAAAGTGATAGAATTATCACATTTGTAGAGCAGAGAGCACGCACTTGTGCTCAAAAAGCTAAGAATTAAAAGCAAAATAAATTAAGGCTCTTGTCTGCATATGAAAGAATAAGACGAAGGCGAAGACCCATACGAATGCGGATAGGAACATGAAGATGACATCGAAGACGATTACGAACACAAATCCGACGAGGAAGACGATTTTGAAGACAAAGACGAATACGACGACGAATATTAATCCGAAACCCCAGTAAGAAGATGAGGATGAACCGAAGACGAAAGCGAATACGAACCCGGCATGAATACGAAATCGAGCACGAACACGAAGATTAAGACTAATACGAAGATGATTTATAATACGAAAAATTTTACGAAACGGATTGCCACTTACCTAAAAAGTTAAGCTGTTTCAGATGGGTAAGTTCCGAATATGTATATGTATCTCACGGAAACGGCGCCTAGAATGAGCATGAATACGACAACGAATATGAAGATGCATACGAAGGTGAATGGAAAGATGAACACAAGGCCAAGCATGAAACGAAACTAAACTAACTAAAACAAAGCGCGATGGGCGTTGGTCGTTGCGCCTGTCGTCTGTATTCTTCTGGCTTAGGAAGTTTCACTTCCGTAATGCGGCCCAGGTGCGAGATGGCCGCTCTGACTGAGTGGTTTGAGGTGCATGAAGCCACTCCATACGACCTGGGTTCGATCCCTGCTCCGAGCAACATCTTAATAGAAAAAGTTTGTTCTGACAGTAGTCGCCCTTTGACAGGTAATGGCACAGCTCCGACTGTATTTCTGCCTTAAAAAAGCTTCTCATAAAAACCATAATTCATTCGATGGCGGCGTAAATTTGTAGGCGCCTCCATTTGTGTTATACTATTAGGACACACATCTCGAATTGAAGGAGAAGCTCGAAAAAAAATTTTTTGTCGAACCCATGGATCCGCTTTGTTTTCATACTTCGGTATTTACAGTCGGATATCGATGCTTTTGTCTCGTGGAGATATTTATTTTTTGTTAATTGGCCTCAAAATGCCTGGTTCTAGTATTTACCAACCAAATCATCTCAACTTCATGATTCTTTTATGAATCAAAAAAAAAGCCAAATTAAATAGATTTATTTAAAATTGTTCTACCGGAATGATCGAAGTATTTATGTTCTTTCTTAGCAAAAGTCTAATGATTTTGTCAGAGCTTTACTTTACTGATAGTATAGTAATACGTTAGTGCTATTAGAACAGAGATTTGGTGCGTAAGTACTAGAACGGGGTACTTAAGGTCAATGAACTTTGGAACAAAAAAAAATTCTCCATATCAGCATATGGATGTTTCCATCGGAAACAACTAGAATTGCTGCAAATCATATTAAAATAAGTTTCATGAAAATAGCCATCCACAATTCGCAGAGTTTTGCGATTTTGTAAGAAAAGAAAAAATCTACTTCCATTTTTTTGTCATGTAACGACACTCTCTTTAAATGCTTATATTTCAGGACCAAGCAGTTCGATTGTTTTCATTTGTCGGTTAAATATAGAGCTAATTATGTGCTATACAATGGCCCAAAAAAGTTAAAGAAAACAAATGGTATTCCTTGTTTGTATCACATTGAAACGTACGACTGTCACGTATGCGACGGATAGAAATACCCATATCACATTTTAAGATCCGACTATAAATGCCGAAGATATGTTGAAAAATATAATAAAAAGTAAGCAGCTTCGGCCAAAAAAAAAACCAAAAAAAAATCATTGTTTTCAAAATTCTCTCTCTCTTTTCGCTACAATCCAATGCACATTAGGCAGGGATAAATTTCATGCGGTTCGGCCAAAAACCAAAAAAAAAATAAACATTTTTTCGAAGTTGCCTTGCAAAATATTTTAAAATCAGGGGTATTGTCAAATTTTTTTCACCTATAATCGAATGTACATTAGGGTGGGATAAAGTTTATTTTTCCAGCCACCTGCAGAACAGAAAAACGTCGAAAAACAGGAGGCCCGTATTTTTTATTTTGTAATCGGTTAACATTTGCTGTGTGGTTGAGGCTTTGACGCTATGCATATATTTTAGATGGAGGAAAATAAACTTTTTGTTAGAAATGATATAAAGTAGTAAAAAATAAATAATTTTCGATTGAGTAAAAATTCGTTCCAAAATAAATTATCTTACCACCCGGTTCAAAAAAAATAACCAACACCAATACCGCCATGATGTATATAATGGTCTTATCTCTTATTAAAAAAAAAAAAAATTATTTTATGTGTTCGTAGCCATATCACGCACGCAAAAACAGTGAAATTATAGAGTTAAATTTGCATCATAATTGTCTTGTTGGAAGCTATGCACTCGCATGAATAGAAAAAACATACTTTGGTACACTTTTTTTACGCCTACACTATAAAAATATTTGTTAAATTATTTTGTTGTAAACAGCACTTTTCATCTTATCATTAATCAATTCCCTTTAATTAATAGCTAAAATTCTTATATCATATTTAGTATAAACTACGCAGGGATCGAATACTTTTTTCTCCAGCTCATTCAATTTGCAAGCACAAACGAACAAAACTTAAAAGTATCCAAGGGATTTAAATCCCCTGATTGAAGCTGGGTACATATTTTAACTGTCAATTTCAAAGTCCTTCCAAAAAATGTTTAAGAATTTTCCAAGGACTTTGACACTGAAGAGCATGTTTGGAGGTTCTGCTCGCTACTCATCTCACACGGGAGCATATGACTCTTTGGAACACTTTTTTCCATCCGCGTCAGTTTTTTTTTTTGAGTTGTTTATACATTTGAAGGAAATGTTTCGTTGAAAAAATAAAAAAATAAAAATAGCGGTGCTTCTAAATCGGCAAATCTTTGACAAATAATATTGTATCGTTGTGTTAATTTTATCAAATGTAAGGCAAGATTTTCTGCTAATGACTAGGCGGTATTTCACAGTGTACCTCGACTGGTTCTGAAAGTTTATTTAAAAAATAAAGTCCTTAGTAAACGCGTAAGGTTTCAGCTCAGGTGAGACAAAATGCATACGATTGTTCTATATTTAATATAAAGATCCCTTCACTCACGCTCATACTATCAATAAAATATGTCTTAAATATCTGTGTTTTAAAACAGGTATGTTTATTTTAGAAATGTTCCTTCATACTGTGTAGCAACTTATCTACATAGTTTTAAAGATCTCAACCTTGAAATGGGGCAATCGCGTATTCAGTTTTTACTTTTTTATAAACCAAAAAAAAAGAAGTATTGAACGCCAACCGGTTTACATTTCTTCAAAACTTCAAGTTCAAAATCAACTACCTGTCACGGACGTGACCGCTCAGCTGATACAGCTATGTACATACTCTCAAAAAGAAATAAAGAAGAGGTAAAATAATATAAAACAAATAGTGTGCTATAAAAATGCACGCGAAAAAGCAATCAAAACAAACTAAAATGGCAAAGACCGGTTTGGCGACGCTTTTAAGTGTATCAAAACAAAAACGATGAAACTCGGTCATTACTGCAAGCCAAAAACGGCTAAATATATACGTATGTTTGTGCATTCATACCCTGCAGGGAATTCCGTACTAGGTCTTTATCGCCAAAAATGAACTGGTCCGATAGGAACTAGATCCTCACCAGCCCAAAATCGGCGAAAAGTGGTACTTTTAAGAAACTAATTTTTTTCAGTTTTTTTCATTAGAAATCCATATCTAAAGTGACGAATTTAGAAATGGTTCGAAACTATAGAAAAAGGGATGCAGCTGGGGCTTGTTTGCTTTACATAGATATGTTTTCGGCGGCTTTTTCGTTCAAATACGCTTCTATTCTGTGCTTCGCAGATGCTTTTTCATAGCTTGGTAATACAAAACTAAAATTTGTGTTAACATTTCAACGTCTTGGGACCGTCTGGAATCTAAGAAATAACAGCGAGCACCTCAGCAAACTCAGCTACAGCTAAAGGTATGTAAACGTACATTTCTTACAATCATTCAAACAAATTTAATTTCAAATTGAAAACACATTTCTTCCAAAATAACTTAACATCGCACACGCGGAAGAACCAAAAAGACTAAAAAATCATGATACCTTTTTCTTTCGTCCGTCGATTTCAGAACTATTTCGGAACTACAGAATTTAGGACTAGTTCGGAACTATCGAAAAAGGAATGCAGCGGGAGGCAATTGACACTTCCTAGGACATCGCCATGTTAAATTCGCCAGTTGCTTGCATGCAAAAGAGATTTATCGCGAACCAGTACTGGGTCTAAATGTACTAGAAGCACCCCAGTTCAGAACTAGAGATTTTCCCCACAGGGTATGTATAATCATACTTACATAAATACATACATATATTAGCATATTTGTATAGGTATCACCAATGCGTCGAATTGAATATTTAACAGTTTCTCTGCGCTTATAGTCAATTATTCGTAAGAAATTTACCTATCCAAAGCAAATTTTTTCCATAAAAGCTGACACTTTCGTACAAAAATGCCAAATATAAAATGCAAAATGTGAAGGAAGCCGTAAGTTTAAAATGTTATTGCTTTTGATGTCATTTTAAACTTGCTGTGCATTTTATTTACATACATTTTCGCTATTGTTTTTCGCA